CTCTCTCTCTCTCTCTCTCTCTCTCTCTCTCTCTCTCAATTAAAGCCAATTTGAATATATATGTAATATGCCATCTTGAAAAAATCTGTTTCAATATATTGTAGGGAAAGGGCTTAATATAAGTTGTTAAACTTGTGCCCAACTCCAATTGTATATAAATTACAATAAAATATGTTTAAACCAATTGCAATTGGGACCATAACAGAAGTTCCCAAAACTGCACACCCCCTTACCATAATAAACACTTGTGTAAAGTTTCATTAATTTCCGTCCAACAGTTTTTGAGGAATGTGTCAGAAAAAATCCACCTGTCGAAAGAAGAAACAGAGTTAAAGCTCTTCGCTTCGGGGACATAATAAAAGATTAAGCAAATACCTCCGTAAAATTAAATCATGAAAGTTACTTGGATACGAAACTTTGATGTCATTTTAGAAAACCTCACGATATAAAAATAAGTTTATTTCAAGGGGTTTTGTCGACATATGTAAGACAGAATTTCCTCCGTAACGTCAGTCATTGTTTTCGGAGGCGGGTGTAAATCTACATTTTCAGATCCAACTGTTCGATCCCAATTATCAATGTAAAAGACCTTGTCATGTAGTCCCTTGAACTCCTGGAACCAGATTTCCTCATAGCAACGACGGAGGTAGTCAAGAGGTTCAAGCGTGTCCCTGAAAGTGATTGAATGTGGACCCATAATAACAACCGAAGTTCCTGGCGCTCGCGATAGCAGACGATCAACACCCGCACGTGCATCCTTGACCAGGGCGCGAAATACTGCCAATGTTGTCCTAGAGAGGTGATAGTACAAATGTATTATAACTACTATTGGTTTATCATTAGGTGTCCGGTCCAGCCAATTTCCAACTGACCGCATCGTGTCCAGGCCCTGATGAGGACCAACGTAAAATGGCGGATTATGAGGGGCCCACATTAAGTCTATATTTAATTCCGTGTTTTTCGCCTTTAATAGTTTGTGCCAAGGCTTCTCTTTTGTATAATGCGCTGTCAAAAGTTTCGATTTAGACTTTAAGCACAAGTCATGATAAATACCTCTACTATTTGAATCGCCCAACACTACAAATCTCTTGTCTTGTAAACAGGTAAAGTCATTAGGTTCCGGCTTACAAATCCTGTTAATCCAATTATTGTTATAATAATATCCAACTGGTGTGAGAGTATTCCAGGTGACTTCCGGTTTGAGCTCTTGGCATGGGAGTGATGGTGAAGGTAGGTTCTGGGTGTAGTTGATTTCTTTTTAAAACAAACAAGGTACATGTAATTATTCGATATTTGACAAAATATAGCTTCCTTAATCAACAAAATAACGTTAGAATACGTGCTCAAATAAATATAAACCAGTAAAGTAACAACAAACAAACAAAAATACTGTAAACCTTATCATTCTCTATGCCCCTTATTTTATTCAAATGTTGCTGTGAGACCAACGCTGCTATTGTCTACCGTTGTCAAGTTACCTGTCATTGTCTTTTTTTCAAATTGTTCGAACCCGTATTTTACCATCTTATTTAACTACAAATAGTAAAATATTAGGGTAGCAAATTTCAATTGTACATTAAGTTCACTCTCTCTTTCAGCTCAAGTCATCCTACCGCAAGTCTCGACTAGTCATTAAAGTGAATTATGATTTGTTAAACTTTACGATGAATTTATAGTAGTGATTTCATAATATTACTGCTAATGACTTAGTTCTTACGAATACTTATTTTCGCCATCTTTCAAAATATGACATAATGTTAAAGTCTCTAACTTTGCGAAGATTTGCTTTCTTTTTGGCAGATTTCAATCTAGTGGTCGTGTTATGATTAGGATTGATAATTTTGGAATGAATAATGCGTGATTTATTTTTCACGAAAAGACTGCCAACACGAAAATCACGAAAATTAGCATTAGAGAAAATATGATTTTGCGATAGGAACAAAGACTGCTGAATGTTTCTTGTTAAATGGTAAATGTTTTAATTTTGCGATCATCCTTCCCTGCGAATTAACGCCAAACTAGCATCTCGCAAAATAAAAGTAGGTTACATAAAATCCGCTGTTTGGCCACTATCACAATCATCTCCCAAATATCTCACAAAAAAGTGAATTCCAACGCTCAAAAGAAATTCGATTTATTTTAGCGTTGTAAACTACATCATGTGTTGAAAAATGTGTCATATACCAAAACGAAAAAAATGCATGAAAAATGAATGTCTAAAATGCAGAGTTAGACATTTAAAAACTTGTTTGTAACTTGTATTTTTAACATGAAAGGAAATGGATTCGAGAGATGTTGAAATGTGATATTCGCAGTGATTTTCATTACATAAGCAATGGTCCAAAAAATCTTCTGAAGCGGAAATTTCCTATACAACACTCATCTCAATTACATAAAAAATGGATTTCATTTACTTCCAATTTGCAATGATGAGGTTTTAAGCCCCCTAAAAGATGCTGTATTCACCTAAGATTCCAACCCCCTGATAAGTCATGTTCAAAGACCTCAATTAAAAACCGGAACTTATATAAGTTATTTGTATATATTGAACTTGAGCTTTATACAAAATACATAGACAGGTTAACGTAGTCAAAAATAAGTTATTAAGGCTAATGTCGTCATAAAAATAGCTCTTTTGGGATCCAACTGAGTTCTGAGAAATGACCTATAATTTAAAGTTTATTTATATACCTAGGTCATGCGGCGTTTTAATTATTTCCCTTCTACTAGCTGTTACTTGGATTCGAAGAATTCCGACCTCAAATAAAGATAGATGTTGCCAGGCGAAACCACTAAAATCACAGTAAAATCACCTGGTAATACATTTTAGCAAATTATGATTACGAAAACAAAGGCTAAGAAACCTTGATCAATAAATGAACTTTAGATGATGTGCTATTTGATAACAAACCTATGCTATGTGATGAATATGAATGCGCTAGACAGGTTATAAACATTGAAGCTGAAAAGTACGATAATGTTTATCACAAGTCTAGCTCTTTTATAACAACATTTAAAGTTAGGAAAGGACATTTTATATGTAGTTTAAGTAGTGTTTATGGTCAAAAGTCTATGGTTGTACACATATATACCGGTAAAATATGTAACCCGGACGTTTTACTTTGATGTTTGTACGTTCCCATAGCAACAATCATCTTCTTTTAGGGCGGTATACCTCTCCACACATACAATGTAGTTAAAGAGAAATAAAGCCCCGCATAACCTAGGTATATAAATGATCTTCAAATAACATGTAATTTCGTAACATTCAGTTGGGTCGCTTAGGAGATTGACATGTTATAAATCTGGTGAGCAACTTTTATCATTACATCAGACTTAATGCCGTATTTTGACTTCGTTAACCTGGTTATAAACCTTTTTAATAGCTCATATACAAGTTCAATATATTTAAATTACAAATATATATTCCGTTTTTTTATAAAGGTTTTTGAATATGACTTGCCAGGGGTTGATATTTAGGGTGACTATTCCGTCTTTGCGTATTGCAGAGGTATCTTGTGGGCAGGTATTGATTGTTAAGTCATTGGTTTGTGAGAGTAACGTCATCAATTTTTGAGAAAACGACGTAATTTTCTCACACAAACCAATGACGTAACAATCAAAACCTGATCACAAGAGAAGATAACTCTGCAATACGCAAAGACGGAATTATATCGTTTAGGGGGCTTGTTTAACCTTATTATCTATTGTTTGGATTTTTTATTTTTAAATCAGTTTTTAAGAATAAAACTATTTTGACAGCAAAATTAACAAAAATTCTGAAAATCTGTTAAGGTTATTTCGCCTTCCATAACAGAAATGTCCGTCTTTATGAAGTAGAAGGGGCGTCGTGTCTGAAGGTGTTCTTTATTAAGTGTAGACCTGTCGGAGTTATTCCCCTTCGTTTATACTCGATAAGATGAGGAAAAACTCAAAAACACACATTTAGCAACAGATGGCGCCAAAGAAAACAGATGTAAACAGTTACATTTCTATTGAAATCCAGAGTTACCTACCTTCGTCTACCAGAATCTGAAACGAGGCTATTCTTTGTTGTTTCAATTTTCTGCAAATATACAGCAAATAACATACTTATTATTAAGTTGAAGTTATTCAGTATCATAATTAAAAAAATTAAGATCCCTTATCCCAAACATTATTCTGTACTTTATACACAGAAATTTATATATATATATATATATATGTATCTATATCAATGAGGTCACGTTATCGATATTGGCGTAACAGAATATTGCTTTCAATGTTTTTATATGAACTACTGTTGTTGTCAATAAAGAGCTTATATAAACTGTAAAAATAAATTCAATCGTCCCGCTTTATTTTCGCCACTATCGTCAAACAGCGGAAGACAAAGAGATATTTCTTTAACAAATGCATCTGGTGATTTTAAATCTTCGCGTGCAATGATGAGAACAACATTTTTGAGCATGATAAAACAAATTTCAGGAAAATCAGTTACGGAACTGGGGAGTTATCGTTAAAATCGATGCGTACTTGAATACATAATTATACCTGTAAAATATATATTTTACTCTAAACCGGAAGTGACGTATAAGAAAAACAAGTGTGGTTAAGCGTTCCTGTTTCTGATACATAGCCTATGGCATAGTCTGTGATCAATTTGCAAGACGGTATTGCAGTTGGAATGTTTTTTCGAGACATGAGAGGATGAAACATCAAGGATACCTTGTTTTTTTATCACTGATCTAATTAACAAACAATATCTTAATAATACAGAATAGTTTCAATAAATAATTGCTTGATTTGGTATGTGTTCAGGTTTGAATGTACTAAATATGGGACACGAACACAAAACACTCCCAAGCTTATTTGTTAAAGAGGAATAAAACAACGGGTTATTTATTAGCTCATCTGGTCCGAAGGACCAAGGTGAGCTAATGCCATACCGTGTCGTCCGTCGTCCGTACGTCAACAATTTCTAAATTTGACTGGAAGCATCCCTAGGTGGTGGGGATTCAAAATTGTACATATGTCGGGGCTGACCCCCCAAGGGGCTGGGGGCGGGGCTAAAAGGGGGCAATTTAGCTTTATTGCTTTAAGCGACATTGTATCTGGATCTGAGAGATGGATATCAACCATATTTGACTTGAAGCATCCCTAGGTGGTGGAGATTCAAAATTGAACAAATGGTGGGGCTGACCCTCCAGGGGGCTGATGGCGGGGCCAAAACGGGGCAATTTGGCTATATTGCTATAAACGACTTCATCTGTAGAACTATGCCATGGATATCGATCATATTTGGTCGGAAGCATTCATGGGAGGCAGGGATTCAAAATTGTACAAACAGTGTACATTTGCTCCCAGGATGGCCCTAGGGTCTGGCCCCACCATTGGATACATAGTCCCTGTGCCATAACTTTGAAACGGTTGAGATCCCCACCCCAAAACTATATATACAAATGCTGGGCATAAAGAGACGAATGCAGTCATGATATTAGAATAGACCCTGGGGTCTGACCGAACCCCTAGGGACCTAGTTTCTTAGTCACAGCTTGGAAACAGTTGTGAGCCCCACCCTATAACCATATATACAATTGCTGAGTATAAAGAGATGAGTCTCAAGTGACCTATCGCGATCGCCTTTTGTCCGGCGTCGTGCGTCGTGCGTTCGTAAACAATTGACATTTTCGACTTCTTCTCCAAAACTCCTGAACCAATATCAATGAAATGTTGCAGAAACCTTCCTTGGCCGAAGGTCAACCAAAATTGTGAATTATATGGTCCCTAGCCGTCAGGGGCCTGCGGGGCGGGGCCAAAAATAATCTCCTCAAGATCTAGATATGGTAGAATTAAATACTCTTCATAGATGGACGGGTCTTAAGATGCTTTACCAAAATTGTGAATTTTATGACCCTGGGGTCTTACGTTTCCCCCTGGGGAGGGGGTAAACTTTATTATAGTTTATATAGGAAATCACATTTTTGACCAACATTTGTTTAATTTCCATTGGAAGTAATTCAATTTGGGTTAGGATTATCAGTATTGGATAGCAGTTTGATGGTTTTCCCATATCAGCCCTGACTGACCCCCAGTGGCTGATGGGTGGGGCCAAAAAGGGTCGAATTGACTGAAATTTCAAAGGGGCAAAATTTATGATGGTTTATTTTGGCAAATGATACTTTGGATATTAAATGTTGATCACTTGATTGGAATTATAACCCTGAGTTGACAGTTTGATACGTTGAAAGTTTTGAGCCAGCCCTACCCACAAGGGCTGTAGGGCGGAGCCCAAAGGAGTTAGTGTGCTAAAATTTCTTCATTTTCCTTGTTTAGAATCAGAGGTGCTAGTTTCAAATACTTTTCAGTCTTAAATCTGTATGCTAGATATTGAATAAGGTGGTTTTATTGTTTTTTGTCGCTTTGAATTATATTTCTGTTCATGTTTTAAAAACAAAAATCAACTCTCTGTATAAATATATCAGATCCCGGCTGACCGTTAAGGACCATGGGCCTCTTGTTTTATTTTTCTTGAAATGCAAACGGACTTATAATATTGACTTGTGACGATCGGTATGAACCCGTCACCTACCTTCTAATACGTACATAATGCACTTTTGAAATGATCATTTCATCCCCACATTTTGTGTTAATCAAACCATCGTAGTATTCGTACAGAGATCATCGACTATAACACGCCTTCATCTCCATCAAAACTAAGCACAAATATGTTTTCCTTATGTGTAAATCAGATCTTAATCTAACTGTCAACCCTTTAACATAAAGGCAAAGGTCGTGCAGTTGTGAAACTGCGGAATAATGGGAGGGAAAATGCAAAACTGATCGAATAGAAAAGCAAACATCGAAATGTCTTTTTGGTGTACAAAAATACTGGATAACATTAACAGAAACACACACTAAAACATACTGGGTAACATTAACAGAAACACTCACTAAAACATACTGGGTAACATAAACAGAAACACGCACTAAAACATACTGGGTAACATTAACAGAAACCCACACTAAAACATACTGGGTAACATAAACAGAAAGACACACTAAAACATACTGGGTAACATAAACAGAAACACACCCTAAAACATACTGGGTAACATAAACAGAAACACACCCTAAAACATACTGGGTAACATAAACAGAAACACAGACTAAAACATACTGGGTAACATTAACAGAAACACTCACTAAAACATACTGGGTAACATAAACAGAAACACGCACTAAAACATACTGGGTAACATAAACAGAAACACACCCTAAAACATACTGGGTAACATAAACAGAAACACACCCTAAAACATACTGGGTAACATAAACAGAAACACCCACTAAAACATACTGGGTAACATTAAACAGAAACACACACTAAAACGTACTGAGTAACACTAATAGAAACACACACTAAAACAGACTGAGTAACATTAACAGAAACACACACTAAAACAGCCTGAGTAACATTAACAGAAACACACACTAAAACATACTGGGGAACATAAACAGAAACACACACTAAAACATACTGGGAAACATAAACAGAAACACACACTAAAACATACTGGGTAACACAAACAGAAACACACACTAAAACATACTGGGTAACATAAGCAGAAACACACACTAAAACATACTGGGTAACATAAACAAAAACACACACTAAAACATACTGGGTAACATTAAGCAGAAACACACACTAAAACATACTGAGTAACATAAACAGAAACACACCCTAAAACATACTGGGTAACATAAACAGAAACACGCACTAAAACATACTGGGTAACATAAACAGAAACACCCACTAAAACATACTGGGTAACATTAAACAGAAATACACTCTAAAACATACTGGGTAACATTAACAGAAACACTCACTAAAACATACTGGGTAACATAAACAGAAACACACCCTAAAACATACTGGGTAACATAAACAGAAACACGCACTAAAACATACTGGGTAACATAAACAGAAACACGCACTAAAACATACTGGGTAACATAAACAGAAACACACCCTAAAACATACTGGGTAACATAAACAGAAACACGCACTAAAACATACTGGGTAACATAAACAGAAACATACACTAAAACATACTGGGTAACATTAACAGAAACCCACACTAAAACATACTGGGTAACATTAACAGAAACCCACACTAAAACATACTGGGTAACATAAACAGAAAAACACACTAAAACATACTGGGTAACATAAACAGAAACACACCCTAAAACATACTGGGTAACATAAACAGAAACACACCCTAAAACATACTGGGTAACATTAAACAGAAATACACACTAAAACATACTGGGTATCATTAACAGAAACACACACTAAAACATACTGGGTAGCATAAACAGAAACACACACTAAAACATACTGGGAAACATAAACAGAAACACACACTAAAACATACTGGGTAACATTAAACAGAAATACACACTAAAACATACTGGGTAACATTAACAGAAACACACACTAAAAAAGACTCTTCTACTTACGTTGCAATCCGCCACGTGAGGTTACTGATCATGGTTGTTCTATTAGCTTTCACATTTTTAATGTCTTCACATGTTACAAATGGAGATTTAGGTTTACAGCAAAACCATGGCAACCCGTAATTTTGTACGGTCAGGTTACACCTGTCGACCAACGTACATCCTCTGAGAAAGGCGTCATGCTTAGGACTACATTGTGTTTCCTCTTGTTGTTCACCACTTGAGTCTATAAACTGAGAGGCCATCATGTGTAACAAACCATGCTTTTCCACGTACTTCATGATAAGTGCTATATGATGCCTTGAGTTAGCGACTGACAAAATCACCCGTGGATTACCTTTCCATGGCAAAAGTACCACTGCAGTGTAAGTCCCGTTTCCATGATCTACAACGTAGCCATTTACATTTGCTCTAAGCTCAGTATCTTTCAACCATATCCTGAGATAGTCGCCACCAGTATCCACAGGTTTACCGTCCATGTTTAACAGACGAATACTCATCCTCAAGGTGTCCCCTACCCTCAGTGGTGTGGGGGATCGTAACACTGTGACCTCTGTCAGATCAGTGGACAGAAAAGAACTGTCTTCTGTAACATTCATCTGCAAATAACTGTCCAATCGTTCTATTCCGAACGGCGACAATGACTTTTGGCATTCCAAGTCGGTATGTGGTAGCATCAGAATATTATCTTTCGGAAGAACTAGTCCATTCTTCTTGTCTGAGAGAAGGTTAACATTCGCCGGGTCACGCCGTGTATTTCTTAAAGATAAAAAGAAAATAAATCATCTTCATATTGATTTCAAAGTCATATCATAATCAGGTAAACAATAATGGCATCAATGTATTGCCGCAATAGTCATGTTACCTCATCCCATCAGTTCAGAAATTACCATTTTTCAGCTATCAACAGAAAGCAACAAGGGAATATGAAAGTGTTCGCAAAACAATAATTCGAACCAAAATAGATAGATTAGGGTAAATATAACAAAAACAAAACAAAAAGATTTACATGAAGATCATTGAAAGAGTACAAGGAGAATAAGACCAGGCCCGTAATCTTCATTTTGTGCTAAAACCAACTTTCTTGCACCTGGCTTAAATCATGTGAAACGATCAAACAGTCAAATGAGAACATTGAAAACAGTGTTTAAGTTTAAGGCATTTAAGTCTCTTCAATTTTGTTCCATATCATTGACAAAATAAGATTTTATCATTCATTTATATTTACATTTCCCCCCGCGCCGTCCCATTACAACAGTGTTAGAGGGCAAGTGTAATTCTATAGGCTATAATTACAACTGCTTGACTATAATTACAACTGCCTGTTTCAGGTGTAGGAATATGTAAACAAACAAAAGGGCCGCCTGAAATGTATTTTGAGGCAGGGCAAATGGTTTTTGTAGGAATATGTCTTAAAAAAGAAAAATATGTAAATATAAAAAATCCCTGGTTGTCTGGATGTAATTATTGTTGACATAATTACAAGTGGCCTCTGGCAAATCCCATAAATCCCTAGCGGGTTTTATGGTAGATTTGCCAGATGCCACTTGTAATTATATCAACAATAATTACATCCAGACAACCAGTTATTGTTTAAATAAATGATACAAGAAATTAGGCTTGAGCACAAAATCCATGCTCGAGCATGAGAACGGTTTCATGAATACGGGCCCAAATGTTTCGGAAGGTAAGTGTCTTCTGCTTTATCAAAGGCACCAATCTTGGTCAAATCCTCAAAATCTCGAGGCACAGTTATGGGCATAATGAAAACCATTGACCTTCATATTACACCTAGAAATAGCATATTTCCATTTATCATATGACTACTGTGTTATGCAGTGTCATAAAGCCATCACATACATTATGTTCATGTAACGTGTGTAATATCACTCCGGAAATGACGTCACACTCGAATAGAAACAATCGATGTGACGTCACGTCATTGTGAAGCGGACGCAATTTTTATCGTTTCAGAGGCGAACAAGCGCACAATATTCGTTTCAGATCACAATTATACAGTTTACTTTTTATCATACGATAAAACAAATCTGTCATTCGTTTCCCTTCATATTAGATTTATGAAAATGCTCTCGTTTTGGATTTTTCTTATTTGCTCGCCACAGGCTTGCAAACATGAAAATTCCAAAACTTGTATCATAAATCCTTTATGAATGGAAACTCATGACATATCCCCTATGTATTGTCATGATGGCGATCATAAAACTTGTCTACAGATTTATCAACCAACATTGTAAGAAACCCTGGCGTTGTAAGCTGATTCAGGCCATAACTCAATTGTCAGAACAAATCTTTAGTATGTAATTCAACAACATAACAAACAGTATCTATTTTTACAAACAAAGAAATGTTGAATTCGATAAAATCACCATGCCAATTACAGCGTCGAAACAAGCATGCTGTTCTTATTATTGTAAATCCAATATTAACTATAAGTTTTTAAGTGAAATGTTCTAGCCTGTGTTTTATAATCCCATTCGGTCTTATGTACGAAAACAAGATTTGTTCCCTTAGCGGCGACGTATCAAAAACTCTACAGAGCTTATGTTTGTTGTTGACAATGTACACGAAGTTACATGAAGAACTCAATGATGTTAGATGTTTAACATTCTTGAGTCGATCTCCCTATGTTTCGATGTTTTCTCTATGGTACTGCAAAGTTCGAATCATCGAAGTTTGAAATATTTGTTATAATTTGACAAGGGAAAAAAACTTACGTGAATGAAAGTGTAACGCAGAAGCAAATTAATCCCAACAGCAAAAAACAAATCCGACGTCTGTTAGTCATAACGATGTCCCGGCTGTCAAAACAATAAAAATGATTAATACACAGTTTAATACCAAAATATTTCCTCTCGCTTCATTTGCCACTTTGCGTTTCTTTCATTCCATCGTCGAACACCTTTATATTTGCTGTCGTCACCGACATTAACTCAATAACCTTCTTTTTTCTTTTTACACAGACAATGTACGTATTAAATGTGTCGCAACATTTCAAGACCGACTGATCCCTTTGTCAAGCTATGACTGAGTGAGCGATTATATTATTTACCTGTACAACGATGTGACGAAAATGTATATTGTTCTTACTGCATACTTCCCACCTCTCACAATGGAAAAGTGTGGGCAATAAATCACTTGCTACCACAGTCCACTGCACACATAATCCCCTTTCAAGGCCAATCATGATTACATGACCATGAAAGGGGGTGTGCCCAGTGGACTGTGGCCACAAATGCTGTAAGAAAGGGGAGATAATCAATCAGTCAGTAACGATGAAGTCAATACAGTAGAGGATAAACTTAGTTGACACATTTCAAATAGGGGGAAAAAATGAAAGTTAAAAATGGTAATTTCATGACTGAAAAACACAAACAGATTTCCTCATCACGTGAGAGGATAAGCATTTCCCGGAAAAGTTGATAATCTTAATGAGCTGTTCCTATATACAAAAATGCACATTCAAATATACCATTCATTGAAAGAACTGGAATTCCTTAGGGATTGATAAACCCTTACATTGTATACATGAAAATGGTTTCAATATCCTGTACCTTTGCCACATCTTGAAAATTAAACTGAAAATGTAGTCAGAAATTCAACATTGTTTCCCGTATTTTGAACAGACACTCCTTACCTTCCCTGACACTGGACCTGGATAGTAATCCAAAAACACTTGTATCCATTATGAAGGATACACTCAGACTGGGCTATTGAGAATCTTACCTGGTTATGATTAGTACTCACTCACATAGGTACATGTAAATTATCTGCAGTGTAGGGTAGGTAAAAAGATTGTCCAGGTGAACATTTTTTACTCAACTTTTCTGTTTTGTTCGAGTTGGGAAGCATGCAGTAAGCCAGTTATTGCATGATTTCTCGTCACTCGGGACTTATTACACCCTCGCTTCGCTCGGGTGTAATAAATCCCTTGTTACTCGAAAACCATGCAATAACCTTTACTTGTCACTCGACCCGAGTCGGTTCGCCTACCCATAGGGAGTGTATACACACTGCATCAGATAGATTCAGGTAGGGTCGTTCGTTAGTCATAACGATATCCCAGATGTCAAAACAATAAAAATGAGAAATATACAGTATCGGAGTAATAATCTCATAGCCTTACCGAAGCATATAGCTGTTCCTTAAATAACTTTAATTCTCTCTGGATCAGTAGTGGCAGTATAACGAAGTTAAGTGTTCTGTACACCGCTTTAATATCATATCGTGCTATTTTTGTGCATACGCTTGACAATATTTCATAGCAAAACCTGATATTTGAATTTCTGATCCACTTTGCTATAAAACAGCAGCAGAAAAGTTAACATTTTGAAACATTTTAATTCATATCAAATTCAGAAGAAAAAAATCGATTGCAATTTGGTAGTTATACTAATCAGTCTTGCAACAAAGAAAGAAACGCATATTGGAAGCATGTATGGACTAGAGCACAGAGATGTATAAAGTATATACATACATTGTACAATGAAACAGAGGCTACCCAACGGGTGATGGTTGGTTAGCATGTTTCTCTAACTCTCGTTTGTTAATTTTCAAATTGTATAATGGCTCGAGGTTAATCGAGTGTCTTTTACGATTTGAAAATTAACTAACGAGAGTTAAATAAACCAGAATAATCAATAATCACTTGTTTGGGGACCTTCTTCTCCCACAACGTTCTGATATCATGTCTAGAAAACCATGTTTCTAATGGGAATTTTAGTTTAAACATATTTTATGGCCAAAAAATGCAAAAGGATTGGGCACAAGTTACATGAACATTATTAACGCCCTTTCCTTATAAGATATAAGATAAATGATTGTATATACACACCATAAGATGGGTTTCATGGTTTAAATCACTACTACATTTATCTATTATTGAGAGAGAGAGAGAGAGAGAGAGAGATAGAGAGAGAGAGAGAGAGAGAGAAAGAGAGAGAGAGAGAGAGAAGAGAGAGAGGGGGAGAGAGAGAGAGATAATTACTTTCAACATATAATGCACACATTCATTCTTACTTTTATGTACAAATTATAGTTAATTTTAAAATTTGTCATGATAATGGAACCATCCAGCACAGCCAGCGCAGTGATATCCTGGCACTGTTCCATACTTTCAGCTATTCAACAGTTCGTCACGTGCTTTGTGGCTTTCTCCTTTCCATTTTCATCCTTTCTCGAAAATTCGTTTCCACCGCACTGACTTTAACTGAATGGCCCATCACATGCCTATATTACAGGCAAGGTCAAGTTGGACAGTTATTCGTTATTCGTTATTCGGAATAACAAATAACTGTACATGTATGTCCAACTTTACTTTCCGGGTACACTTTCTACGTAAAGTTAACGAATAACGAATAACGTTCCAACTTTATTTCCGCCCCCCGGAAAGTATTGTTAGACAGTTATTCGTTATTCAATAACGAATAACTGTCCAACTTTACTTTGCTGAACGGGGTGGCTAACCTGATCATTTTTCGATATTTCATGAAGTTTATCTAAAAGAGGTTTATCGGAGGGGGGAAGGGGGGGAGGGGATATGAGGGGGAAGTACTGCCTTACTGGCAAGTTAGCTTTTCCAGTGATGCGGTATAACCCAGGAACCCGCTCACTAGTTCAGCAGCGTCGAGCGTGGTCAGTAGTTGGATGGTTGACCGCTAGCACGTTACATTACATCAAATCAAAGAAAACATATTTTTGGCGACAAACTTGGAATATGTAAATAGGACAGCACAATTCAGTATTTATGTTAAAATTATATTGTTCATCTTTTGAAAAATATTAAGCATTTGTCTTTGTCCTTATGATATTCATATTGCATATGAATGCCAACTGAATGCAGTTGACCTTATCATCTTGACTTTATTTACCTCTGTGAAAACAAGTAAGAATGAATACTATAATAAGTGTCCTGGTATGTCATGAATCGGTATACACAGCCAGATAATATGCAGATGTCGTAAATATATGACGATAAACTAAATTATGAGTAACAGCACCATACCGGTATTTACATAAAAGCACGTCTGTTAGAAGTAAGTGAACGTTGTTAGGACAACCAAAACGTCTGTTATTAAAACAAGTATATACTTATGTTTATGTTCTGAAATAGCCATCTAACTTACCTTTGTTATCACAAGCGTGCACCTCGTAATATGTTGTGATTTGTAAACCAAACATATCCGTTCATCCTAAAGCGTCGCTATATTGAACGCTTTCACCTGAAATTTACACCGCAGTGTACATGTCAAGATGAATATGTCAGGGGTGGAATATTCTATAAATACCGTTGTGATATATTAGACAGCAGGGTCGACAATCATCTATGGAAGAGCATTTTTGCCAATAGATATGTAATACTCAACAACCTTTTAACTAACCGATTTCGACATTTTGAGAATTAAACTCGACATTTCAAGAAACTAACTAAGCATTACAAAGACGATACATAAAACATATAATGTGATAAATGTCGATGGTTCATGTGAAACAAATAAAAATTAAAAATTAGAAATAATAAATCTCTCATGTAATTTATAGTTGTGCTTTAATGATTTCAATAAATATGTATCAATACATAACTAATGTATGTTACCGTAATATATTTTGACAACATTAAATTTGTAGTTTTGTAAATTTACATTGTTATTTTATAAAATGAAAACATCGCATTGTTAAAATATCCACGTGTTTGATAATACATATGTATATATATTTACCATCATCACATATACACAATATTCGAAGCATTATTATTATCACATAATACATGTACATAGCACAATGACAAGAATCATCATCATCATCATCATCATCATCATCATCATCATCACAAATACACAATGGCAACCATCATCATCATCATCATCATCACAAACACACAATGACAATCGTCATCATCACAGTTTTCGAAGCATCATTATTATCACAAATGCACATGCTTGATAATACTTAAGCATATTTAAACCTTAATCGATGTTTTATTGAAAAAATAAATTAAAAAAATGTGTTTAATTTCATTATTTTATTATGTATATGAATTTAGTTCATGTAATTTTCTAACGATGCATCTAATGTTATATCTTAATTTGATCCAAATATACCTTAAAATGTAATTGATATTAGATAAATAAATTTAAAGATTTATTTCGAAGGAAGTAACTCGACATTTTGATATATTTACCGCAAATGTCGACTAAATGAACACGTAAAAAAGCGAAAAATAAATCGTGGACTAATATAAGCACTTATGATCTTCCATAGTGCATTGTCACCTTATTTATCATCTAATATAACAAAAAGCCTTAGGCCAGTGATTATGCATGCAATCGTGTCACAGCTAAGGACGGAGTATATTAGCGTGCAATAAAATTTGTTTCTGGGTTTATATTATCATCTAAATGTCTTCTAAAAAAGGTAATTAGTTTGCTGAAAATTAACATTGGTAGTGAGAAAAACTGATTTTCAATTTTATATTTAAAAAAAAATGTTCTAGCATTAAGTTTAGAGGGAATGGAGTATATATATATTCTCCAGAGAAGATAACTCTGCAATATGCAAGACGGAATATTAGCAACACAGAAGTAGTAAATGCACGTCATTGCAAAGGACGAAACAAATTTGTAATGAAAAATGTTTCAAAATTAAGGGACCCCCCCCCCCAAAAAAAAAACCCCAACAATACAATAAGCTTATCCACACCACTTAGAGTATATGAGCTCATTGAACTGAAGACCTATTTATAATTGTACCTTCTGACATCAAGGTGGTCAGTATATGACCCTAAGGCAATCTGACCAGCTGTATGCGTTAATATCACAATGACACATTAATGTTAAAGATTGCAGAACAGACAATTTTCGCGGGGGATATTTTGGCGATAGTGCGGATCATTAAGGTGGATAGTCCCGTTTGTTTTTCTTCTGCATGCAACCATAATATTTTTTAAAGTTGAATGTTTGTTATTTCCTCTATATTTTACAAAAACAAAGTTAACTGGATGTCTCGTTTATAATTATGGGTTTGAAAATCTTACAATTATTGGCAGTGATGTTTTATAATCTGATTATCAATAGTTCCAGGGCTCGA